GCATTCACTTTGACCCTCAGTTTTCATCTTGACTCTGCAGAATTGTTTTGCGGAGGTAGCCAGGAAATGATCAAAGGTACTGAACGCATCAGGTGTGATTTGGTATGAAAAGCAAAGGAGTAGCAGTGTGAATAGGGAGGGAGGAACAGACTGCTCTTTGTTTTACGTGATGTTCCTTGGTACTACAGAGAGCTCACCTAAACAGCTGTGGCATTGTTCACTGTGCTCCCCCCAAGGGAAGATTTTGGTTTGTCTTTGTGGGCAGGTGAGCTTGGAAGATGTGGTGGAGTGGAAATTGTGATTTCTTCATGGGATTTTCAGACTAGAAATAGATCAGAGTGAGTAACAGTAGTAATTGACTCACTTCTGAGCACCAGCATCTGACATTACTAAACCAAGGAAAACGTTTCCCATATATTTGTGTCTGCCCATTGCACTTCAGTGTGGAGCAGAGCAATTCTTTACTGCTCTGGAAGTGCACCCTTTGGATTCCCAAGGAACCATTTCCAGTTTCCTAGCATGAATTTAGGAACTTTCAAGGTCATAAGTACTACATCTCTGTGGATGTTTTTGCCAGAAAAATAAAAAAAAATTACTCAGAACATCCTAGTAACTGCTTCTCTAATGGCATGATCAGCTGCAGCAATAATAGTTAAATCCTCATCGTTGACTAAGAGCCTTTTATATTTCTGAAAACCTCAAGCTAGTTGAAAATCTTAAGCTAAACCCAAATTGACAATGGAAGAAATCTTTGTCTGGTTAAAGATAGTGTCACTGACTTTACGCTACCTCCTCCATTATTAATGGGAGTAACAGCTGGGAACAAGATACGTCACTGGCAGGAGGAAAGGCTACTGATTTCCTCCTGTCTTCACTCATCCCTGGAGCAGAGAGGTAGAAGAGTTGCTAAGAATCATTTTTTCTCTTTCTTTTTTAGCTTTATGGAACAGAAATGCGTCTGGCTGAGAATGCTGCCTAAAATTTGCAATTAGCAGGGCCAGCAGAAAAGCATTATCATGAATTATGCGTAGCACAGAGAAAAAGTACAACGTTTCCCTATCTTTGCACCTGGAAATGAGAAATAATGTCTCAGAAGATGGATTGAACGTTGTAAAATCATAACGAGCATCACTGGAAAGTGCTGCAGTTCTGCCAAGTCAATTCAGACAAGATACATCATGTGACTTGAATATATAGAAAAGAAATTTGTGAGTAATTTCAGTGCATTGCTAAAAGGAATAAAACATCTGAGGTACAATGCCATCTGTTTCTCTGAATGAAAATTCAGGAATTTATTTGGTTTCTAAAGCATCTCTCCAGTACAGCAAATATAAAAATGATCATAAAGAAAGGAACATTTCCTAGGGGACACTCACAGCACCTTCTGAGAAAGTTGGTCCATCAAAGCATCTCTTTTGGAAATCTGACAACTACATATCCTCTTTAGCCTATGGAGACTACAGCTGTTCTATTCCATTATTGCCAGGAGCACAAAGGTACAGTTTTTCCCTGTCCCGTTTTCCTTCACAGTCACAAAGGTTTGTTTTGCTGCAAATAATCAGAAAAAAATTCAAGCACTTTGAAACCATGTTCTTACCAGACCTCTGCACAGATGGCAATGTAAATAGTCTCATTGGCTAAAAGCAGAAGGAATCAAGCAGCTCAGAGCTGTCTGTTAGAAGAGCTATTAAAAACAGAGTCTGAAGTGGTTTCTGAGGAGGCAAATGCCTCTGCCAGCTGCAGAAATACAAAGAGGAGGGAAATTTGAAATCCTCTTTCACACACAATCTCTGCAACTCCTTATCAGTATGAATTAGATGACATTGACTGAGGGACAGATACTGTTTTCACAAATGGGGAAGCAAAACCCTAAACAATGGCTGCTGCTACAGAATTAGTATTAAAAGATGGAGCACAGAAAGCAGCTGAAGTCAGAGAGAGAAAATGTTTGTTGTAAAAGAAAGCAAGATAGTAAAACCAACGAAAGGCTGAAGCAGAAAGACCAAAGACAGGGGAAAAAAACATGTTAGTGAGAGATCTTAAAGTACAGAGAGGCACAATTGATGAATTGAGGGCTCTGCCTGTCATCATTAATGATTGTTATTTCTGTATTTTTATTTCAGCAGAGAATTTGATCTCAATCTCTCAGCCCTAAACTTTTCCTCTCTTTTCTCACCTGTCCACAGCTATCGCTGTCATGGAGTAGATGCTGGCGAAGACAGCTGTGATTGGGAAGAAGTTGTGAAAGCGGCAGTAAGCCTCTCCAAAGTACCACTCACTGTGCAGAGCGTAGATGAAGTTGATGAGAGTATTGAAAGCAGCCATGGAGGCATCGGAGAAGGCCAGGTTCACCAGGAAGTAATTGGTCACTGTCCTCATGCGCTTGTGAGCCAGGATAATCCAGATGACAATGAGATTTCCAAAAACAGCCACTGCCACTACACCACCATAAGCCAGAGACCACAGGGCAATGCGCCAAGAGGGCTGCACAAACTGATTTGAGAAGTTGGCTGCTGAGGATGCTACAGGGGCAGAAGCATTTCCAGCTGGCACTCCCAGTGCCTGTCCCCAGGGATCTCCTGCTGCAGCAAAGCTCGTGTTCCACCTGCTGCTCATGCTCATGTTCCAGTTGGCTGTGGGGACAGAAGTCATCCTGGATGTCCCTCTCCTCTCTTCCAGGTACGATGTGCCTCTCCCACCTCCCTCTCCCAACCCTCCAAAATCCCCACCAACAGGTAAGAAGAGGAAAGAAAGAAAAAAGGAAGTAAGGCAGCACAGCAGATGCTGGGAAGGAGAGATCTGTCAGAAAAAGCTTTGGTTATGCTGTTCAAACTGTTAGAAATGCTGTACTGGCTGAGTCAGGAGAGCTACCTCTGGGTGGAACAGCATCCCGTTCCTCCTCTGTACAGCCACCTCTTGCTTTTGGTTTTGCTGAAGGAGAAGGGGACTGGGAGCCAAGGCACATTTTATAGGCTTGTGAGTTCCCAGCGTCATGAAGGGAGTGGAGCATTAAGCTCTGTCTGCTGGTGAGATAACACCTCTCTCTCTCTGCTCTCCCTCCTCCCCTTATATTTCATTCATTGCCAGCAGCAGGCACTTTCAGGAGCTGTGGAGGGTGCCATGGGGAAAATTAATTCTCTTCTCGTTTATATTGAGAGATTTGTTTTATATTGCCTTTCTTTAAGTTTCATTATTGTGCTTCTTTTTTAAATAGTCTCTTTGCCCTGTTTTTGCAGGGCTAATTAGCTGGCTTAGTTGAACATCTCAGGACTGAGACTGCATTTTATTAAAGCTGTTTCCAGATGAATTTATTCCAGATGAATTCAGAACAGCTTTTTTTTTTTTTTTTTTTTTTTTTGCTGCTGTCTTTTCAGTTAACACATGCTTTTCTTTTAACCATTCTGTTAACTACAGATTTGGAGTAATGACCTCTTTCAGATAAATAAATACATCCTGCTGCTCTCTAATTTTACTTTTCAATCTGTAATATGTAATTGACATCAAAAAGCATTTATAAAATTAAAATATGACTATCTTTTTCTTACAGTGCTAACTTTGGTACCTGTGAAGCCATTTGCATGTTCAGCAGATGCTGATTTTTGTTGAAACACTATACAGCCCTAAACAAGGATGCCCTTAAATACGGGTGAAATGGTAGGGGTTTGTTTTTTTTGTGTCTTTGAAAAAAATAGAGTTTTAGTTCTGTTTGCTTATTTGAATTTATTCCACACATAGTACTATAATTATTTTGAGCAAACAATACTTTTCTATGCAGTGATTTCTATACTGGTAGAAAAGGGTAGATGAGGAAATTTAACACCTGATGTTTTCACATCCAAGAAACCAGTTTTCTTGTTAATATGCTAACAACAGCACTGGAATTGGGAATGCATGCTTTATGTAAGGGTTGATTGCAAGGGACTTCAACTAACAAGCCTTTGTTGTTCAATAGGCTGCAGTCTTTAGGGAGAAAATGTGTTTTAGTGCTGGTCTGCTCCTTGCTTCAACAATTCAGCTCTAATACTTGTCATCAGCAGAGATTTCAACTGTGTCACAGCAGTGGGAGCTATTCAATACCCCTATCAACGATGACACATTCTACATCTTTTTTTGAACAAAAGCTTCATACAAACCCCAAATATTCCTGTGTGCCACTTCCTCCCTTCTGTATTTACTCAGTGGAAGTGGTGTCTGCACTTTAATTGTCAGGTCTTCACTGAAGTTTTAATTTGAATGACTACAATTATGGTCATTTCTATGTGCTTCTCAGTTCTTACCAGCTGACATGATCACAAGCAGCAGCCCACCCCAGGCTTAGAAGCTCTGCTGAAAACAACCATTTGCTACAGCATGTCTAGAACTTACCCATGTGCTGCAGGTCCTTGTCGCAGGAAAAACAGTGGAGTTAATCCCAGTTCTGTTTCAGGTCTGAAATCTTCCATCTGCATCATCTTTCATCCTCTCCCTGGAGGCAAGTCTGAAGAAGGGAATAGCAGTTCACATGCCATTTCCCCGATAGTCTTTGTGCTGTGTTCTGAAGAGATCCCATAGTAAGAAGCAGAGTCAGTAGAGCCTGTAGTAGTGTTGAGTGAGTTGAACCACTCTTTAAGTTAGCTCCCCAGTGAACCGTGGGATATATTTCTCTGCCTTTTGGGCATGTATAGAGGGGTCTTTGGGAAGGCAGTGAAGACTAAGCAGTTGATTAATTCAGGTGCACTCTCCTAGTAAAATCACTGAGGTGCTGGCCAGAGGGTTAGTAGCTAGGGTTCCTTATTGTATCATATTGTCCAAAGTACGTCAGTGGGATAGACTGAGAGAATCCTATACCTGGGCAAATAATTCTGACTTGTAATAAATGATCTAAATCACAGGCAAAATGTAAGTAAGAAGTTGAATTAACTGTGGTAAAGACAATCTCTGTGAGTTTGAGTGTTGAAAGAATTCAAATGGTGGTTCCAATGAGTGAGGAATACTGCACTGATTGTTGTAGCAGAGGCTTGGACAATCAAATCTTGACTTCTGAAGCTTCACTCAAGATTTTCATACAGCTATGAAAACCCAGCCCTGTGCCTTTCCACCTTTATGCCCAGAACTCCAGACTGTATCCTTTTACTAAGCTGATATGTTTTTCACATTCCCACACCAGCTGCCCAAGTCCTTGTGTCCCACGTGCTTTTGTTGCTTTCACCCAGCTCTCGCAACCCCAGCTCTATTACTCCTTTTCCTCAGTTTCAGCAGAGATGCAGTGACCTAATTTCTTGTGCACAGTACTGCCAGGCATGCAGCAGTGCGCAAACGTATAGGAGCAGTGTACTGTATAGGACCTGCAGTAACTTCCCCTGCATAGAAACATAAAGGATCTGTGTTTGAACTACTTGCTCTGTATAGTTCATGGAGCCATATTCTGTTCATGTGTGTAAATTCTGTCTCAGTGGTGAGTTCCCATGAAAATCGTGCAATATGCAGTAGTTCTGCACCAATGCTGCAAACTAGTGGCCGTATTTTGACTTTGAGAGCTGGAGTCTAACTTCTTGTTCCCCTTTTTCTCACAGGAATGAGGCTTTTCCTAGCTCTCTGTCTTGGAAAATTGCTTGCCATTGCATACAGGGTGTTCTGGAGAGACCATTCCCCTGTGTCTTTCCCTCATCCTCTACAATGCCCCCAAGGGAAATCAGGAAATTTTTCTCCACAATGCATTCCTAGTCAAGGTGTGAGAAGTCAATACAAGTCAACATCTCAGGTAAATTGAGTCCTTGAGACTTACTTTAAACAAAATTTGGGAAGTGTTTTGAGGTCTCTGTTTGTGAAATCTCAGGCAGACCACTAACACACTATGTGAACAAAAGCGCCAGCTTTGCGGTGTAGAAATGAAAATATCGTTGATTCCTGTCTTCCTCTCCAGGGGTACCCTGAGGAAACTAAGGAAATATTCCACTCCTGTAGGCAACATTTCTACACTGTACTCTTCCCCATCCCCTCTCCTCCATGCATGAGGAGAAGAAAAACTGTGGGGTATCACAGAACATTAGAGGTTGGAAGGGACCTTGAAAGATCATCTAGTCCAACCCCCCTACCAGAGCAGGACCACTTAGAGTAGATCACAGAGGAACGTATCCAGGTGAGTTTTGAATGTCTCCAGAGAAGGAGACTCCATATGATTAGCATAATGAACAACCTAGATTTTCATTAGTCGCTTGCTCAGTAAGTTGGATGTTATCTGCTGTGTCGCAGCAGGTATCCAAATCTAGCAGAAGAGGTGGATGAGTATCTGGAGCTGGTTTTGAGAAGTGGAACATTGAACAGCACAGGGCAAGTGTTGGGCAACTGGATCAGCCTCCCATGTGGAAAATTTATGATTCCTTTTGGAAATGACTAAAAATTTACTAGAATAAATTCTCTGTGCTCTGGCTTTCGTTCATATTGAAACCCTAGAGGAGCAGTCTGGTACAGTCAATTGGAGCAAAACCAGGTCCTCCTACATACCAAAGACTACAGCAAAGAAATAGGTTGACCTGCCCGTTAGCATCTATCTTGCCAGTATTTTATTTAACTAATTAAGGATGGAGGTTAGGTAATTGGCCTTTGCCTGCAGAGGAAATTTAGCTGCATGGTGAAGTCAGCTGGGCTTTTCCATCAAAATTTGTATTGATTATACATGTACTGATTGAAGTTTGGCCATTTGAAAGTCATCAGCATTCAGTTTCTCAAGTAAGTTCCACAGCAATTTCAGTGAAAACATTTGTATTAGTAACTTCTGTGTAGCAAAATGTGCCTGATTGTGGTGAAACTTCCTCAAAGGAGCAGTACAACAGACAAAGATCTGTGGGTTTTCTCAGTCTCCTGTAGAAAAATAAGGTAGTTATAGAGGGTAAAAATTCTCCTCTTTTCTTCTAAAACCATTACAGATATATGATATCTTCTGTTAACTTTTGTCCATTCCAGCTTATGCATATTCACAGTGGGAATGTTTCATTTTCCTTTAGGTAAGACTGTATTCAATTTTAGAGTGACTGCTTTCTGGTCATCTGCTATTTGATGTTCTCTTTTGCCGTTCCACTGATAGCTCCTGTGTACAGTCAGCTGTGGTTAAACTTGTGGCTCTTAGCAGTTTCCCGTTCCCAGCTTCACAGAAATACTTAGAAACTTTATTTATGAAACTACGATTTAATCTTCTACCGGTCTTCTGGTGTACTTGAAGTTTTCATCTGAAGTTACTCTTCCACTAAATTTGTCTGTGCACTATGGGAAAAAGAGCCAGAGAATATCAGCAGTGGCTCACAAGAAGGGATTTGTAGCAAAATAGCAGCCTGCACAGCGTATCTATTTAGCATGAGTGCTAATTGCAGCGTTGTTAATTACAGCAGTTCTATTTCACAAGACCTGTCCTCTGTGGTTCATTTATTTTGTATATAGTACTGAGGGTGTCTGCTAAGTTTGCTTATGGTTTTGGATTTGCTTTCTTGATTAGGTATAGCCTAATGACCTCATTCCCTGCCTCTTCTTCCAGCCCCCAGGTGGAAGAGATGATTCTTCAGCAGCAGCCTTGGTGGTCCAAATTTTTTCTTCAGCTTTGGTATCTCCTGTTCATCAGTCAGTTGTGCAAAGCTGTAGCCATGGCAGGAGAATTTTTGCAGTTTAAGGATGCTCAACGC